TTTTTATATATATATATATATACATATATAAAAATTTGAACGAATGGTGTTTTTGGCCTCTGGGGACATCAAAATGAAAAAGTAAATCGGTCCCGGGTCTAGGTCTTACCGTGCCACCTACGGTAATAGCTACTTCCCTATAGGGAAATTCGCTAAAACATGTGGTTAAACCATCGATCTCTAGAGATCGATGGGTTAAACGGACTTAAACCAATCAGAATAACAAAGTAATGAGATGACTCCACACAATACAGCAGGCACAGAATACAAAGTATTAGATTAGATTGTCCTCACTGACTCCACAATCCAAGACATTTAAACATTCAAATACATATTATACCAAACACATGACCACTACTTTTAATGTTAAAAGTCACATTTACAGTACCAGTACCGGTACATTTTATTTCCCAAAATTGTCTCCATAGAGATGTCATATGTTGTGAGTTGTGTGTTACATTTTTAATTGACAAGTCCTTGACCAAAATGTTGATAAGCGTCTAGACTGCCAGTGCAACTCCGAGGAACGAGGATCAGAGGCGCTAAAATTGTTATCTCTATCACTGTTGCTGTAAAAACGTATCATTTGTAGGTTAAATTTAAATTAAATATAAACTGCCATAACCTAACCAAACTAACCAAACTTGCTGATAATGAAAAACTCGGATGAAGGTTTACTAATCGAAAAAATAGTTCTGTTCTAAAAATAAAATTATAAAATAAATGTTTTTAAATTCAATTTTATAATTTATAAATTATAAAATTAAACTGTCATAACCTAACCAAACCATCCAAACTTTCTGATATGAAAAAAAATTGTCGACAAAAAGTTTGTGCTATCAGTGGGATTCGAACCCGGCACCTTCCGATTATCAGCCCGACACGCTATTCACTACACCACCAAGGCTCATGACTCAGTTCCGTATCGTTGCGGTAATGGTTGACGTCACGCCATCGGCACGGAGCGGTGGTGGGGGGTCTTCCTCATCTGGTTGTGATGAATTGGCTATGATTTAGTTTACTGCATTTCACAGCTTAGTAAATCAGGTGTACCAGTTATATTTTTAAATTTTTATCAATGTAGGGGCCATACTTTAAAAATGTGTACAATTCTGGCTGAATAGACAATTTGATTAGATTTCAAAATTGAGTTTCCAATCAAATGAATTTTCTTTTACTAAACTGTTGTCTGAATGTATGTTGCAGCGTTGGTGTAGCTTGCGCTGCTAATTGTAGATCTTTCCCTGAAGTTGAAATTTCTGATGTAGTAAATCGGATTTACAACTTTATTTGTATATGTTGTAGCACAGAGAATGGCTGGAGCTGAGGGTTGTAGAATTCACCCCTGGACTGACTTTGCTTGGCACTACCCTTGGCGAGGCTACGGCTATGCTAGACGCACATCTGCAAGTCCTGGAAAAGATTCATGTAAGTCCGTTAAGTACAGTGCCCAATTTAACATACTTGCAACCATAGGCCAAATTAACCCGAGCAGTCCCCAACCCCTAGGTTGAACTTGCCCAATTACGCAGAGCACAAAAATAACTGCAATAAGCATTTTATACTTACACGCCAACCCCGTATGAAGGACGGGTACTATGCTGGTAAGGTATAAATAAATAAAATAGAATTTTACACAATAGGGTATTCTGTGACTGGTTCGCACAACAAAACTATGTTCTTTTTTGAAAAAAAGTGACAACTGGTCCATCTAGATGGGATGTCTACCTCAGTATCCAAAAGTCAATGGTATAATGAATAAATATTTAAGTGCAAGTAAGTTTGTTTAGTTGAACACAGCTCAGTCTTGCCAGCAACGCTCAAAATAGTTTACTCCACTTGACTATAAAAAAACCGCCAGAGCCACTGATAATAGCTTGGCTATAGACTTAGTTGGCGAGAATGAAATACTTGTAGATGAAAATAAAGGCAATCTGAAGGAAAGCAATGAAACCCTACAATAAGCAGACACCTCCTAATTAAGGACACTAAAAGTTTGATTCATTCCTCAATAGTGTCTTCAAATAAAAAATGTTCAGAAACATCTTGAAACAATGGTAAAAAAAAATGTTTTTCATAATTTGTTACTATTCTCCTTATAATTTAATTATTTCCATGTACCTACATTATCTTAGTCTGTTGGGATATTTAGGAAAGACTTCTAAATTTTTACACATTATATTGGGGGAGGGTGTGTGCACTGCCGTTAGGTAATGGATTTTTAAAAGAATTAATTATGATGACATAAAATAAAAACTTTAAAGGCTAACACATAACAGGTATACTTCCATCCACAGATGGATGTCACTGAAAATAAAAATATTGTTAACTGATTATTTGTGAAGTTTTTTTCCGTTTTAATGAAAAATAGTCAACATATTAATTTAGGTTTTCGGATGGCTCAGTGGGTGCCAGGATTCGTCATCGCAGATACGAAAATAATTTTGAGTGACTCAGACAAGATACCTAATTTCTGTAATATCTCACTATCATCATTGTCACTGTTTTAGATTGTTAATTGAGCTCTTCCAGGTTGCCTTATACAGCAACACACAAATACTGGAAGGGACGTGTTCACTTAAAAAACGTTCGGTACACAAAATTTAGGTTCAGCTATGGGTGATTTTATAATATTTATCGAATTGTCTGTATCCGGTAGATATACGGAAATACGGTGTAGATATTTATCTAATTAGAGACCAAGACTTTTCATTATGTAACAAAACAATTCTGAGTATTAAAGAACCCACTCATAAAACACCGAATACAAACGTTATTAACAAGAACGCCCAGGTTGCTTCAGCAGCAACAAAATGATACTGGGAGGAAACGAGTTAATAAAATAAAATATCGACGTTAAACCCAACAAAATACACCCAGGTTGCCTCAACGGCAACACAACGGTAATAGAAGGAAACGAGTTAATTGTTACAAATATCGACGTTAAACAACACACAACAAAATACACCCAGGTTGCCTCAACGGCAACAAAACGATACTGGGATGGAATGAGTTAATAGTTTCTAATATCAACGTTAAACAACACACAACAAAATACACCCAGGTTGCTTCAACAGCAACATTGAAACCATACTGGGATTGAACAAGTTAATAGTTTGTGAAATTGATAATTAGTTATCGTATCAAAAATAATATAATTTATTCCTAGGTTGCTTTAACAGCAACACGACGCTACCAGGAATCGAAGCTTCAAATGGAAACTAAAGCAAAAGTCATACTCAATGCTAGTTAATTAGGCCTACTGTGAGATCAGAGAAGGTTTATGGTTCTGTTATTAAGCTAGCGAGGCTACCGTGCTCGAGACGACTGCACGGTTTGGAGGTATTGAGTCGAATGAAACTACAAACCGCCGCAGTGGACCTCGTCCAGACAGTGGCCAGTGCGCATGCGCCGCTCCCCTACCTCTCCTGTCGTCCCTACTCTGGCGGTAAGGACAGAGTTTGGATGCACGTTAGAGAGAGAGCGCCGAGGAGAGAGAGAGACCGCGAGTGTCTGGTACTACTGTACGTTCCTGATTTGACGCCTACCCACCGCCAGAAACGTAAAACTGTAACGGCTGCAGAATACATCGTTACATTTTAAACTGGTTGAGACATGTCTCGTCTGTCGGCTCGCAGACGTGACGAGATCGCTTGGTGAGCTATTCACCGCAGACGGCTGTGCCTAGACATTCCCCTCTCCTATCTGTAGTACACCTCCTTCAAACCATAGGTCGTTATATGTAACCTTCATTTGGTGGGTGTGTTGACTGTTTTATTGGTGCTTGCTGGTTTATAAAGATGATGAATTTGTTGTAAGCTATGTTATATTGTTATTAAAAGTCAAGAATGGGACAGTAAGTATAAGAGGCAAGTAATCAAGTGTGTCTATGGGACACAAGACTGAAAGTGTACTGTGACATTGTTGCCTGGGTTGTGGATTGCCCGACTGGATGGATGATTCAGTGTGTTGTTTGACATCCTCTGGATGTCTGCACACAGACATCCATCTGCTGACGGACAAATAGCTAGGTTTTTAATCATTGGATATGATTAAAATCCCATCAACTTTTACACGAGCCGGCCACCGTTTACTTTAGTTGGACCTCTCCTACCAAGCCTGAGACAGGTGAATTCCTCATGATTTGCACACTAGATCTGACCAAGACGTTGTTCAATTCCTCTATCTAAGGGGCTGTCCCCTAACCATAACCCTCAGTTATTGATCATACCTAGCCATACCACACTAATACTTATAAACCCATCACTCTCTAGAATAAGTAGTTCTTCCCTTGTCCTCAAGGATGTAGCGTATGTTAGGTAGAGTTTTCAGGCACCTTTTTGATTTTCATTTGCATGCGTAGTTGTAAGTGAACGTCTTGATATGTTACTGATGTTCTTCACTGCTGGGTTACAGAGCAAGCAGAGTCCAGTCGAAGAGTTGCTGAGACAAGCAGATCAGCTGGTTGCCAGTCAACACACTCGTGCTGAGGTGTATAACGCCATGGCCGAGTCTCTGTCTGCAGCGTGGCAGGACGTCAACTCATTGCTGCAGAGGAGGAAAGAAATTTTGGAGCTGAACGTAAAATACCACAGGTAGGTGGAGCGATCAGATTTGTACGACACTGACGCACCACTTTGCGTATTTGAAGGCGAAGACGACCGAAGAATGATTGATGGGTGGATGAGGAGATACATGTGTTATTGCCTACAATCAGCTGGTTATTTACTCAACACAATTTTTGAAGAGCTCAATGATTAATTGCAGCTGAGTACATACATTATCATAAGATAAAAAAAGACTCTTGACGTTTTCCAGGATCAAACTAGCATTCTCCTGTTTAGTTAGCAAACATTATAAATCAAATGAGCTATCCAGCTATATTCACTAGGTATGCGGTCTCAGGTCCACCAATTGAGCCGAGAGAACATAAAAGTGACTTGTTCACATAACAAACATTCTTAAAAATGTCACTATTGTTAAAATAAGTACAAGTAAGTTGAAATAAGGTTCAAAATTAAAAGTTAAATACTGTACTGTGCTCCTATGTTATAGCGATGCAGCCGTGTGCCTTGAGCGCACCCGTGCCCTGGAGCTGGCGTGTTCTGGCGCGCCTTTGCCTGTACAGGTCTCGGATTTGCGGGAGCTGTTGAACCATCTGTCCGAAGTGAAGCGATCCATGTTGGAGTCCCTCATGGCTGCCTTACAAGTAAGCCTTGTTTCTTTTTGTATTTTTGTTAAGAGTTTTCTCAGTGAAACAGTTCATCTTCCTAATGTTGTAATATAGTAAACTCACTGTTATAACTATTAAGTTTTACAAAAAATAGTATACATACATTAAGATTAGAGAATTGATGATAAAATCATAGTCCGTTTTTACTTTTTTTAAATGATAAATAATGCATTTTGATTCCAGAATTTAGCTTATGGATCTTGATAGTTGACACACAATGTTTTTTAACCCGTGAATTAGTGCCCTATCAAAGGCTTGAATCCTGACTAACTTTGCTAAGATCTCTACTGCATCCTGAAACTCAAAATTAGTTCATTTTCTTGGACATATAGCAAAATAATATATCTCGTATGTAGTAAGATCAGTTTAGATCACAGAAAACATTAAATTTAGGTCTAAATTTGGGTATTTGTATTTGTATTGGGGTTTGTATTTATTGTTATGGTCATACAGAAAAAAATACTGCAAACAGTTCATTAATCCGAATAAACACATCTCTTCCTTCTGTTGCACAGGATGGTCGGGCATTGCTGGATTTGTTGCGTCAACTCGCAGCCGAAGGGACTCTCGACTCTCGACCCGGCCAGGTTCTAGCCTCCACTCAAGCTGGTTTGTAACTTTTTTCCTTATATCACACAGTTGGTTACTTAGTAAATATTTAAAAATCGACTACATTATGGTTGACTGCATCGTCTTAATTTTTTCTTCCGACAGCAGTAAGGCGTTTTTCGGCTGTGAACTGTAGACAAAACACATACAGTGTGATTAGTGATCGCATTGGTGCGACTCTTGACCTGTATCGATAGACTCCCTCTAGTTTTGACACCTTGAGAATCAGACTCTTGTCAAAAAAACTAATAAATGTCTAAAGCATCAAAGGCTAAAACAAAAGAAATATATATATATATTCCTTGTGCAAAATTTGAAAACTACAGAAAAATACTAAACAATAACATCTGTGTTTGATTGTTAAATTTCATACTTTGTCTAAGTAGCAGATGTTTTTCTTATTAAGTGTTATTATTTTGTTTGTTTGTTTATTAAAAAAAGTCAACTAAGATGCATGTAATCCAAAGTCTTTTATTAGTGTAATATATGTATGTGCCAAACAGGGCCAGATAAACAGGTAATGATTTTAGTTCTATGTGGTTACCAATAAAGAGGCGCATGTAAGTGAATGTGTTTGACAAGGCTGTCCAAAACAAATTATGTCTGAACCATAAGGATTCAAGTATGGGAGTCAGTTCTGTTTTCAGTTCTGGTTTCTTAAATAATTCTAGAAATCAATCACTGTTAAAAGAACATTCTATATAGCATTTGTGGTTTATGATTGCAGCGATATCACAGGTGGAGAGATGGCTGGAGGAGCTGCACGATCGAAGGCGAGCACTCGAGTTCTCGTGGCAGACACGCAAGACTGAGCTGGAGCAATGTCTGACACTGGCTCTGCTAACTACAGACCTGCGCATGCTGGAGGAGATATACGCAGACAGGCTGGACAGTCTGAGTCGTCACCACGCAGAACTGGGCGACTCTGAGAGCAGCGCAAGACTGCTGCTCGACGAACATCTTAAACTGCTACCTGAAGCCAAGGTATACACAATTTGTGGGAAAAAATAATGCGGTAGGTTTGTTGATCATATCGCCTGGGTTGCCAAAGGGTGGTCATTGTCGAGATGTTAAAATCAATGCACAGACTTCTGTCAATCATATAAATTCTCCTTTTACGGCCAGTATCAAAATACGTGTGGTGTGGTCCTTTAAGGTTGATCTAGGTAGTTGAGATTACACTAGAACTCATACTTCAGGCTACAAAAGTCATACAAGACCCCCATTAGAAATATCTTTTTTGAACAGTTTACATTTTGCCACATCACTACTTTCACTAATAATATTAAAAAAGCCCCACACATTACTTTTACGCTTACTCATATATCATTCATTAACTAAAATCAAAAGAAATTCAATTAGAACCAATGTGAACAAAAACATAACCTCAACAGTCAACATACGGATGGATCATAAGACATACACCGTAACTGCAACACCGCGATCGTGCATATAACAGGGCTACTGCATCTCTAAAACGCTAACCGTGATTGGTTTATCGTCGTCCTCCGATCCAAAACCAGCCAATGAGAAAGGTTCTAATAAGTTAGTAAAGACACTAGCACTCGGTGCGGCGTTCAACAACAATCCAAGTTTCAATGTCGCTAAAACATAGCACATGATTGGTTGATCGTCGTCGCAGGGCAATAGGTGAGCCAATGAGATTGTGTCTATTAAAATGCCAAGGACACTAGCGCTCGCAGTGGTGATCAACCAAACCAAGTATCCACGTCGCTATAACATAACATGTGATTAGCCGAACATAGTCTCTGGATAGAAAACTAGCCAACGAGGTTGTGTCTATTAAAATGGCAAGGCCACTAGCGCTAGCAGTGGTGATCGACCAAACCAAATATCATCCCTTGAGTTGAAAACGAAAACTAGCCAATAAGGTTGTCTCTACTACTAAGTAGGCAAACAGCTAGAATTCGTAACGGCAATTTACCCGCTCTTAGGGATGGACGAGATTGGATTTTTAGTTCGAGACGGGACGAGACGAGATTTTTTATTTCTCATAAAATTTCGAGACGAGATTGAGACGGGATTTCCTTTCTCATACACAACGGGAAATGCACGTTCAAAATTTTTACCTGATTTTGTAACATTGTTAGATGACTGTTTAAATACAAAAAATAATGATAATAGGCAAGAATATTTACAATCTTTTATTAAAAAACATCAGCATAACATTTTTTTATTAATCACGCCTAACTTATTAAAAATGCCTACGATTAGGAAACAGTGATATCAGTTAGGATAGAGTTCAACTTATCCTAAAATAAAATAAATCATAAAATAAAAGCAATATTAATTTTTATAAAATAGTTACTTGTTTTGACTTTTTATAGTAATAAAACATTCCTCACACTGCTTACACATAACAAAACTTCTCAAATGTTATTAAAATAATATTTACATTTAAAGAATTAATTAAATAAGAACGCCTTCGCAAAGGAAACGCAACTACAACACGCTCCTGTATTGCGGGTATTGCATTGACTTTCTGCAGGCGTTTTTAATTTTTTATTCTCGTCTCGATAAAAATCTCAGCCAAAAAGAAATCTCGTCTCGTGTAACGAGATTTAAAATTTCCCGAAAATTTTCCGAAATTTCGAGACTTGACCATCCCTACGGCCGCTCTGAACTGACTTAATCCGCACCGATTCATACAGTTCAGTGTCAGTATCTGTATCGAACCCAAAACAGGCAAGTATCAAGTATCGACGATACCTCGATACCGCTGGTATCGAGAGTATTTTGGTATCGAGTATCGGTATCGGCCCATCTCTAGTTTATTTGTAAGTTATTTAAGAGAAAATTTGGTTTCAGGAGTTGCAAGACCAAGGCCTCAAAATCCTAAGAGCTACTGAGCAGCTAGCGGCCACAGGTCACTTTGCAGGGGAGGACGCCATTGCTCAGGCATACCAACTGCTCAACACGTCCACTGAGTACCTGGACAAGCTTGACCTCAGGGAGCGCAACTTGACAGACGCCATCACCTTTTTTACTGGCGCTCAGATGGTGAGAATATCTTACGTTGTTAATGTACAGGATGAGGATACTTATACAAAGTGTCTTCAAACACAGCAGCTGATATGCTTTTAAACCTATGTTGAGTTGAGGATTCAAATGTTGTTAAAGCTTTGAACGGTCATTAGACTCTTGATCTTTGGTTAGATCCAAACTTCCGTGTTATCCAACCTTCTGTGTTATACCAACCTCCCTGTAGACGATTGAGTGCCTTGAAATCACAAGCTGCTTTGTGTGGTATTGTTGTACTCTGAAGTGGGTCAGTCATTTTGCTGCCCCTGACTATTTCAAAGATACGTGTCAGGCTTTAGGCAACTAAACTTGACTGTACTGCCCTTCTAAGCACAGTTGTGGTAACTGACATTTTTGGGGAAAATGAGATATGGTTACCATGTTATTCTACACATACTTAGGATCATATAAATAGCCTTTAATGCCGTATATGTTGTTGTATTTATTTATAAAACGCTTATTTTCTTTGCCGTATCTGCAGTTTAGGAATGTTTTACTAAGCGCAGTTGTTGTAACTTACATTTACTGGGCTATTTAAGTTGTATCCAACGACAGATACAACGATTTCTCTTAGGAATGATATGTTACCACAAAATGCTTTAGCAATCCATCAGTTACGGCAATTTAGTTTAGCATCATCCCCATTATTGGCCCAGTATTCCTATAAATGCCGTGTTGTTGAAAACAAAGCTTTTGTCTCTTGGAATTGAAGTGACCTATTATTATCAAATAATGAATTTAATTTCCTTTATAAAGACATTCCACTTTGTGATATTGATAATAGTATATTTTTGACATCAACGTTTTAACAGAGTTTCTTGTAGGCCTATAAATGATGAGCCTTTCTTTAGAAGAGGTAATTTATTCTGCCAATAATGTAAGCCTAATAAATGAAGCTGTAAGTTAAAGTTTTTACAGGCCAATCTGATGATCTTAATGAAGATGTACCTACTTATGGAAATTACTCATAACAAAACGCCTCAAAAAGTTGGTAACATTTTTTACAACCTTGGGCTATAACAAAACCAATGATAGGATTATTCAAGATATGTCTAGGGAAAATGGTGTCTCACCAAAACCTGATGGGAGGAAAGGATGAGTTCCCCAAAACAAGATTGACGGAACTTCGATTGTTGATCCCCAATGACCATAAACATTTTTAAAAAATTGTCAAAAGCTGTATTACAATAATTGTTTTACAACCATTACAAAGCATTTTGAATTAAACTTCAACAATTATTACACAACAATTTTAATATAAGATTGGAACTATCTTTAAATTGTTTAACAATCAGTATTATGCAGTATACAAAATAAGTTTTAATACAAGTTGTAACTATTTTAAAACAATTTAAAATTGTTGTATTCTTAGTTTTGTTATAAAGAATTTAAAACAATTTTCCAAATAAACTGTTTACAAAAGTACCGGTATTTAACAGTTGTTTGTGTATGCCTAGTTTTTAAAAAACAAGTTTCAACAATTTAAAATACATTTTTTTACAATTTTTAAATAGTTTACAAAACTATTAGTCAATAGTTTGTGTAGTTCTTAAAAAACAAGTTTCAACAATGTTGAAATTAATGTTTAATTTGTTTGATTACATATCAGATGTTTAATCTTAATTAATGGGTTTTATCCCTGTTTTGGTAATTTTTTAAGTCGCCTGCATTTAATTTGGATAATATATACTAGCTAAATACGTTTTATCATTCATGTTTATATAACAGCTTTGTTTGAAAATGAAATGAAGTGCCGGTAATTGGAAGAGTATTAAAATAAAAAAAAATATATGTTTATCATTATTGTACAGTTAAAGCACGGTAGTTAATTAATTCTTCTTATAAAGCATTTTTTTAAATATAATACAATTGTTTATAATTTTATAACAGTTATGTACGAACCTACTGTACATGAACTAACATACATATATATAGTGTCGTGTGCTTCTATTATAAATACAGTATTGAATTACTTGAATAGGTAAATTCATAATGCATAAGTTATCGACTTTTGTGATAAGTTACCGATAACGTTGTGATAGTTGCGATACTAGATACAGTGATAGAACACCTGCTTAACATACAATAATTAATAATAAATACAAATATTGTTTATATTTTAATTTTCTAACTTATTTGAGGAAACTTATAGTAGGTAGTTGAACAATTTAAGGGGGAAGATTAATTAATCATATAACAATTATAATAACATCACTATATTGGTATAATTCATATATATTTAAATACAAAAATCCTCTCCAACTCCAGAAAAAAAATCAACAACTTGTGGCCAAAACAGAATAATAGTATCAAAGATATTTCAATCCAGAAAATTTGTTTATTTTGGGAACCTTATATTTTGTTGCATTTGAAACAATAACCGTGATTTTGCTAGACCAGTTTAATTAAGTTGCCACTATATGGCCAAGTATATTTGATTGTAATTGATAAGAACTAAAGCATTATCTAATTTCTTAAGTATTTAGGATGTTTTAATGTTGAAAATAATTTTGGAAAATGATTTAGCGTAAAAAAATACATAAGATGAGACCAAAAAAATGTTTTAAAGTCAATTTTTGACTGTAGGGCATAGTTTTAAATATACTACCCTCATTTTCTCAATTTTACCCAGATGTCAGTTACCACAACTGTGCTTAGCAGGGCAGTGTACTTGTTGTTTCCATGTGTCACTTACTTCACAGTTTGTTCCTCTTACCTGCATACTTTTATCTGCTACCCCAAGTTTTAGTTGTAATGTGGTTAGTGGCAGAGTATCCCTTTAACCTTTATCTAGTTTTTTCATTTGTTGTAGATGTGTTCATTTTGTAGTTTGTTCCCACGTTAATCACGATTGAGGGCTTCAACAGAAATATAGTTTCAATGTGATACAAACTTTAAGTCTGGAATGGGTATCTTATAGAACATTATACACATTTTACAGTGGTTTATACTTATGTTTGTTTATGCCACAGCTTGTTTATATTAGATGATGGAAACCAATGAATACCATTCTTATAAGAAGGGCAATGCCTATGACACAAATTCTGTCTGGGAATATTTGAATTTGGGATAGTTCCCGCAGCAGTGATGGCGCTACTATTGCGAGCACGCGACCAAGTCAACTGACTGAGTGAGAGAGAGTGAGACAAAGAATCAACTTAGAGAAGGAGAGAGGAGATAAGTAACACGGCCGCCGCGCGAGCACATCTTAGCGGCGGCCACACGAATCTCATTTTGGTGGCCAAATTCGAGTCTGACTGTTCACCACAAGCATTTTGCTTCTTATAAGTTTTGTATTCATTTTGGAGATTCTTCATATATAGCAGAGCTTTATTTCAGTTAGCACAGTATTTATTGAATTTTTTTTAGGCTTTACATCAGTTGACTAACCTAGAAAGAGAGTTGTCATCAAGCGTCAGTGCCAACCAGCTGTCTAGCTTTGAGCACTCTGTCAATGAGATTTGTTCACCTGTAGTGAGCCAGGGATACCAAATACTAGAATCAATACCTGCAGCTAAGGTGAGTAAATATTGGAAATTTAACAGTAAAAAATGTAGGCTGTCAAATTTTGGTCTTAGATAGACCACGTTGTTAAAATGGCAATATTTATGACGTTTTGGATGCAGCACAGCAAAGCCAATTTCAGTTTGATCTACAATTCAACCAAACGACTTCATCTAAAAAAATTAACTGGTATTTGCTGGTTCACAAACACAGTCATCGCCCTAATACCAAGACAGTGTACTTTGACCGTGGAGGCCCACCTTCTAGCTGTAGCAGCATTTTAAATTGTATCATTTTCTGAAGGAGTGTAACTGTCTTTACTCTGTAGTCATAATCCAAGCAGAATTAGTTCTAATGGAATTTTCATGTTTTGGTTAACCTAGATTAATGCTTTAAATATAATTATTATTTTGTTTCAGGGTGTTCAAAACAAGGTGGAAGAAATTGAAAACTTAAAGTTGAAATTAAGTTTGGCTGTTTCAAATATACAAGAGGAAAAACTCAAGTCCACACAGGCCTTAAACAACTTCCTAGAGAAGCAAAACCAGGTATGTATTCATTTACTACTGTAGTGTCATGAAAGTGATTCATCATCAAAACTGCCAAAGGGTTCACCTATTTTCACAATTAATTGATTTTCCTACATCTAGTTGATAAATTAAATATTTGATATCAATGACTGTAATAATCTCTTAGGATACTGAACTAAAAACCCTGTGTGTATACCCGATGTAACCGGTTTTGTACATTAAGAGAAAATATTTGGATGTATTTCTCATAAACTTTGCTACTCCTAAACTTCTTTTTAGTGAATTCCCCATGTAGGGAATAAACTATTACTGTATTACCATAGATGTCATGGTAAGACCTAAGCCTGGACCAATAAAAAAAAACTTAAAAACACCTAATAAAAAAAAATTTGGATATTGTTGCATGCCTAAATGGTTATGGAGAGAATTCTAAACAAACTGTAAAAACATTCTTATGGAGAGTAAGTAAATAACTGCCGTAGTTTGCATGTTTATGGGTACCTATGTTTCAACACCTTGTCAGTGGCTCAATTTAAAGTGTTTTTAAAAATAATATTAACTAAACACCTTTTACCTACAACTGTTTTTTAAACTAGCCGTTTCAGTTCAGTTCATAGAATTGAAAAGATTCACTTAACAGCAGCATTGTTTACTTACTTAACAACATTGTTTTACTTAACAAAACGAGAAACGGACCAATGAGGTTTAAGAATTGAGAGAAAAGAAGTAAAATAGTAATGCTTTCAACTTCAACTAATTAAATTTAATTTTTAATGAGTGGTGCAATAAGGTGGGGGTTGGTACAATGAGTCGTTGCATCACTGTCAGTGGCAATGAGAGGTTATAAACAAAAACATAACCTCTCTTAGAAGTTATGAGTAGCGATTGTTAGTAGTTAAAAAACTGTCGCAGGTAAAGTAGTGTACACAACTCACTTAACTCGTTTTAATGACAATCGCAGAAGTTTTTAAGGCACTCGCCAAGGGTTGTACATGTACTTTAAATTTCTACTCTTGTTAACACTATCTTTACGCGATCGTTGCGTAAACTACTATAACCTTACACATATTGTAGTCAATTTAGTTGAAGACTATGTGCTTGTAATTTAGATAAGAACAGATTCTGTAGAGGTCTTCAAACAAGTAAATTATAATCGCTTAAAGAGTATTTTCTTAAGACGTTATACTGCCATTACTCACAATATACCAATGATATAGTTGTACTCTTGGCTGGTGAACACTGCAGAATCCTTCATCAACGGACACCAAGACATGGGCAGTGTGTTGGCTGTGGCCAAAGACTTCCTCCAGCTGCACCATAAGATGCTCAATGACCTGCAGGTGTGTTTAATGTTAAAATAAACCTGTTTTGATGGAACATTCTCTAGCTATTGCATTATCACCATCTTAAGCTGGGTTATCCTAGGCGCAGAAGTGGAGTGCGGAGAGAGGAACACGGAGAGCGGACTCCTCTTGTCTTAGGTATTTTAATGTTACTGTTTCACAGAAGCGGAGAGGATGAACTATAGCTTTTCCTTTCTCTCTCCGCGCCCTCCGCGCTCCTCTTCCGCGTCTAGAGAAACCTGGCTTAACACCTTGCAGTGGGATCTTGAATATTTAGATATCAAGTTTGTATCTTGGATTGGGATATTGTACCTCGCAAATCCATCTTGAATTGGAATGATCTTTGAACTCCAATTAATAATGACATGATTGATTTTTAATTTCTAGGATCCTGGCTATTCATCCTGCCTCTTGAATTTAAACCTTACATTTTGGCCATCCATATGTCATCTTGGTTTGGAATCATGCATCTTGGTCCTCCATTTTGAGTCTTGAACTTAAATCTTGAAATTTAGAAATCCATCTTGCATCTTGAATTGGGATCTTGAACCCCAATTAATAAAGACTTGTTTGATTTTCAATTGCTAGGACCTTGACTATATATCATACATCTTGAATTTGAATATTAGACTTAGACCTTGGCCATCCGACTTAAATCATGGGTCTTGGAAATCAATATTTGTATTAGGATTTTGGATCTTGACCATACACCTTGAATCTATGATTCAGACCTTGGACCTATGTTTAAGGGTTATACTAAGTTATTTTTAAGGAAGTCTTTACAACCATCAACCAATATTCAAACATCTACGTTTTACAAGTGTTTATGTTTCTATTGTTGAAATTAACACTTAGGCCCCTAAATTATTTTCTTCAATGAATATATGTATGCATACCGTGACAAAAACTACACAAGAAAAGCTGCAGGATAAAAGCTAGTATCATGAATGAACAACAAAATACCTCGGTAGATACCACAAATATAGAATATTACTAAGAATGTAATTCATAACCTAGTGCCAGTTGACTATCAAAAATGGTGGTGCCCCATATCTTCGACTATTTTAAGTTTATCATTTTCTAGGGATGGTCAAGTCTCAAAATTTCGGGAAGTTTTCGGGAAATTTTCAATCTCGTTACACGAGACGAGATTACTTTTTAGCCGAGATTTTTATCGAGACAAGAATAAAAAAAAAAAAAAAAAAAAAAAAAAAAAAAATTAAAAACGCCTGCAGAAAGTCAATGCAATACAGGAGCGTGTTGTAGTTGCGTTTCCTTTTCGAAGGCGTTCTTATTTAATTAATTCTTTTAATATAAATATTACTTTCATTATTTTAATAATATTACTTTAATAACATTTGAGAAGTTTTGTTAAGTGTAAGCAGTGTGAGGAATGTTTTATTACTATAAAAACAAGTAACTATTTTATAAAAATTAATATGGCTTTTATTTTATGATTTATTTTATTTTAGGATAAGTTGAACTCTATCCTAACTGATATCACCATGTTTCCTAATCGTAGGCATTTTTAATAAGTTAGGCGTGATTAATAAAAAAATGTTATGCTGATGTTATTTAATGAAAGATTGTAAATATTCTTGCCTATTATCATTATTTTAGTATTTAAACAGTCATCTAACAATGTTACAAAATCAGGTAAAAATTTTGAACGTGCATTTCCCGTTGTGTATGAGAAGAGAAATCTCGTCTCGATCTCGTCTCAAAATTTTATGAGAAATAAAAAATCTCGTCTCGTCTCGTCTCGAACAAAAAATCCAATCTCGTCCATCCCTATCATTTTCTTGTAACAGCTTGAATAATCACTCAATCAATAATGTCTTTCAGATGAAGGGAACTGAAATCAACGCTTTGTTGTCGACTGTGCCAGATTTGCTGATCAGTTTGGACGAGTCTGACAGTGCTGATGTTCAACATAAGGCAGAGGCTCTGCGAAATCAGTGGTCATCACTCAAGCTGGTTAGTGTTGTAGCTGAAGCTATGTGAATGTCATGTGTTAGATTTTCATGTTTTTAGACTTATCAAGAGTAGTGTTTTCTATGGTGGGTACAAAATTGTACTCTCAGTAATGACATTGGTTATTATCTCTTTTACACGGATATTTCATGTTTTAGTTCAATCTAGGAATTCACTCTAGGAACTGAAATAGACTCCTTATTGTGTCACATTGTAAAATCTTATGAAATTTTTGTTTGTGTTTAATTTTGGTTATGTCGTGAGTGTCTCTTACCAGGATTAATAAAAAAATGACGTGTTTTGTTTTATACACTATTAATTTTCATCTCACAACTATAATCAAACATTGCATACTTCTTAATACTTATAACTTAAATGGTGACCATACGAAGGTAGTTATTTTAAGGATAAAGGATCAAGGCCCCCTGGAAACCCAAAGAAAAGGTAGAAAAATGAACTAGAAAGACATGAAACTAGTGAGAGCCAAAGAATCGGAAGAAGTGGAGGTAGTTGGTTGGTGAGGTCATTACCAGTAAATGGCCATGGGAGTGAGAATAAGTCCCATAAACACAGAGAAACTCTAACTAATAATTTTGTTTACTCAGGTGTTAGAGAAACGATTGGAGTTGGCAGCACAGTATGTCAAGTTCCACACGCTCATTGTTGAGCTTGCATCACACGTAGACTCCTTGACAGAGCGACTGAACGGAAAACCAGCAGCTTCAGAGAGGGGCGAGATTGACGAGACGTTTGCAACAGTCACACAAATCTTCTCACAACTGGGAAACGTGGGAGAGAACTTCAAGCAGGATTCGTATCAGGTAGGATTGAACAAATTTGAAACAATTTTGCTTACTAATCATCTAGGCCTACTTACATATAATTCAGTTTTAAAAATCTTTGTACAACTAAATCTGGAGTTCTACTAGAGCGATTTGATTAATTAATGAGTCGTTGGAAAGCTTAATTTGTTTAGATTTGCAAATAATTATAAAAGGTTGTTTTTGTTATGATTTGTGGTAAAAATTTAAAAATAAACGATAACAGCAATCTGACACATACTTTCTCCCTAAGCTTCTCAAAAACCTTTATCATGGGTAAGCAGTGACAGTAACTATGATATTTTATAGGGGAAAATCACAAAAGTAGCAATCAATTTTGAACTGTAATGGTTACAGCAATTTTGTTTAGAATTATAAGGACCATAACACATTAATTTTAATTAAACCAGCGCTTTTCCTAAAATCTTATTTTTTATTTTATGGGGGTTTTTATGGGAAAATAACATAAGATACAATAACTTTTGAACAGTAATTTTTACAAAAATCAGATTTGTACCATTTTGTAAAAAGTTGAAAGGACCATTACATACTTATTTTAATCAAAACCAGCTTTTTTTCTAAAATTTGAATTTTTGTTATTTTATGGAGTTTTTATAGGAAAATAGCATAAGTTACAATAACTTTAGAGCCGTAAATTTTACGGAGATGGGATGTACCATTTTGTTAAGAATTTAAAGGACTCTAGCCTAACATTCTAAAGTTTTATCAAAATTGTTCGGGCCATTTTTGAGAAAATCTTATTTTCTGCTATTTTATGGGTTTTTATGGGAAAATTACCATTAAAAATAAAAATTGTGAAAAAATAAAATACCCCCGCCGCAGCAAACCTGCCGTCTAAGCGAATTTCCATTTGGCCGAATTGATTTTCAATTGATCTATTTAAATAACATTAGGTTTAACGAGTACCTAGGTTTGCTGCTACAAGGAAACTAATAAAGTAGTGTGTTTTTAGTAAAATATTGATAGCTTACTATAAAATAAATAAATTTGCCAAGTTTGATCAAAATATATCCATAAACAAGCAAACTACAACCTTTTACAATATTCTCCATAAGAATAACATGGGAATTTTAAATTTACCATTTTTTTAGTTTTCTCCGTAACCAATAATCGTACAAAAACACTTTGATATACTGAATTGTTTGTTTTTTTAAGCTCGTTAAGAAGGTTTGGAGAAAAATTGGGAAATTTTGTGTTTTGAGGGTAAGAAGTGAGAAAAACCAATTTTTACCCCATAAAACCCCCCATAAAACCCTGTTCCCATGGTCCGATCATGCTGGATCGCGAACTCATTCAAGTTTATCCCGCCTTACACCTACAAACCAAATTTCATCAAAAACGGATAAAAATTACTCAAGTTATCGTGTTCACGGACACATATATATATATATAAATCTATATATATATATACCTATATATATATATATACATATATAAAAATTTGAACGAATGGTGTTTTTGGCCTCTGGGGACATTTAAATTAAAAAGTAAATCGGTCCCGGGCCTAAGTCTTACCATGAGACCTACGGTAATAGCTACTTCCCTATAGGGAAATTCGCTAAAAGACGCCTGGAGATACTATGGATTAGTACCTACATACGAAATTCCATCACAATCGGACGACAATCACTTCGAAAACCATTTTTTGGATTCAGGGGGACCCAAAACGGATATATCCACTCAAAACTCAAACTCAAAAATTTTGACAAAAACAATACTGTCTCCATATATGGCAGCTTTTGACTTTACTGAAGATGTTTGTTTTATTTAAATATACATTCACCACAGCCTACTTTAATAATAATAAGAACAGAAGATCGTTCATAAGAAATACATTGAAAACTGGGTTTTTCACATTTGTTATTTGGATGCAACTTTTGGCTGCCTTTCAAGGTATTTTCAATAAATGCATGGTATTAATTAGTAGGAAATGTTATTCTCTTAACTTTGTACAACTAAATCTAGACTTCTACTGGACCGATTTTGTTAATTATAGGGTCATTGGAAAGCCTAACTCATGTAGGTTTGCAAACCATTCGTATCAGGTAGGTTTGCAAATAATTATAAAAGTGCGATTTTGTTATATATTTGGAGTGAAAAAGTAAAAAATACATAAACACATTAAAAAAAGCTTTTTCAAGTTTCAATTTGTTGCCAACTTTTGGCTATCTTCATTAAGTATTTCAAGAAATACATAGTGGTAATTTGTAGAAAATTTTTTCTCCTTCAAAATATCGCATCCACTGTGGTAAATTTTTTGACAATTAGTTATTAGTAAATAAGCCAAGCGATTCCAAATTCATATTAGTTAGAAAATACTGAATTAAGTTAGAGATATTTTTGGTAAACTTAGTACAAATAAATCTAGACTTAGTTAACTAAATTTAGTTGATAAATGGGTCGTTGGAAAGCCTAATTCGTATAGATTTGCTAACAATTATGAAAGTTTGATTTTATTAAATATATGAGATGAGATAAAAACAGACAAAAAAACAGTTTTACTGGATCGATTTGGTCTATTAATGTTTTAAAAAACCCAATTCGTTTAGATTTGTAAATAATTTTATGAAAGTTTGATTTTATTAAAAATTTGCAGAGAAAAAGTAACAAAAAAGAATACAAAAAAGGGATTTATTTTGTCAAGTTTCTATATCCGAGCTTCTGTTTGTAGCCAACTTTAGATGTGAAAGCTTCATACATGTAGATTTGAAAACAATTATGAAAGTTGGATTTTTTTTAAAGATTTATGGCAGTACCGTGGCAGTGGTGGTTTGCCATTCATTCATCTACTCATCATCTATTCATCATCTGTTCATATAAAACATGTGTTGATAATTAAACAGCTGATTGTTGTATTCTTATTTAATTAATTTTTCTTTGTTTGCGTTGTTGTTCACAATTTGCATTTGTGTTAAAGTGTGTTCCTTATGTTATGTGTGTGTTTCTAAAGTTATGTGCTTAATCTGTACCATTATTATTAGTGAGTAAAGTGGTGCATGGATTTTATAACTGTTATTTTCCTAGAGACCGTTGTATTTAACCAAAATTAAGCTTTTGACATCCTTTTCTTGAACACTGGACTCATTCGTCCTTATCGAGACTTTGTTCCATTTCACAAACATAAACGTTTACGTTTTTAACTCATTTTAGAAGACATTTTCTCCTAACAGTAAACCTACATACAGAACTAACACATTTGCTCACTATGTTCACCCTAAAAAACAATCTAATACTGTTTAGTAATAAAACATACACATACAAAACCACCGATCAAATCCAATAGGGTATAGTAGCACCCATCAACTAAAGTGACATTAATTGTTTACTTCTGAGGTTGGAAACTTAAAATTCAAGATGAATCCTGTCGAAGGTCATTCACATGTGATTATGTGACTCGTGTGAGTCTACTGTAGTTTGTAAAACACTTTAACTGGACTTTAACATTCCTTCACAATTTAAGCTGTGCCAGTTTTTACACCTCCCTCCATGATTCACATTATTTAGTGTTATTGCTTTTAATTCATAACTCCTTATATTCTTAGCCCCTGTCTGTTTTAGTTTGTATACTTCATCCTTAGTACAGTAATGTCCACAGATTGATTAGAGTTTGTGACTTCTGAGGTTCAGAATCGTTTAATTCACCTGTGACAATTTGCTATAACATAATGATTTGTCTAAGTAAGCATTGAAGTAGGAATAAATAAAAAAATTAGCATTAAAAGGCTGATTAAATGAAACATTAATAGTATATTTCCTACCTTGGGCCGAAAATGAGGTTTTGCCGGCTCGAGATAGCTTTTAAGTTCGAGACGAAGTGGAGAACTTAAATCGATCGAGAGCTGCAAAACCATTTCGGTCCGTGGTACGAATGCTATTTTTCACCACTATTCACCACTATAATAATACACACTGATAGTCAACACAACTACTTTAAGGTTATGTGAAGAAATAATTTGAGGAATCAGAAAAATAAAAATAAATAGTTGCGAGGCAACGGTGACAATAACTCAATTCTATTGCAATGCTATGGATTTTGATTGTGTATTTAAAATGCATCCATGTATTAAGTAAGTAAGCGGACATCTTTGCGGCCCCAGGATGTAAATGTTAGGGTTATTAAATAACGCGCAATGGTGTGGATATGGAACATTTTATTGTCTTCTATAGTTACTACACAACACACACATGAAGTAGAAACGAGAACATTACATAAAACCTCACAACCGGCTCCAGACATAGGAAGAATAATACTTTCATTCTTAGAAGAAGAAGAAGTCATATTGGCCTAAGTTACATAGACGCTTGATAGACAAAAGATTGGGGCATGTACTATATGACAAGAATATAAATTTATCTTCTCTAACAGTAAAAACCTGCTCGGTCCCCAAATTACGATAACAGCTGGCATGGCCAGCAAAACGTAACTTTCAGCCACCAATTAATGTATGTAATACAGCCAAAAACATCATAGTGTGGTGAAAAACATGTTTACAAGCAGGTAAACAAAATTTAACTTGTTAAGAGGAAAACAACCCTATTAAGCATAACACAACTGGAAACACAATATAAGTGTCCAAAATTTTAAAATTACCATTTGAGGTACATTCACACTTACATTGGATACACAGTTAGGAATTAGACTCATAAAACTCTTCCAAAACACACTTTATGGCAACCCAAAATAAGAGTATGAGGTTATTATAAAGCTATAAGGTTAAGAAAAGGTTTGTAGATAAGATTATAAAGAGAATACAATGAATTGCATCACTTTGCTTTAAATCAAAATTGTTTTAACGATCCATATACGGAATAAGCTATTATCATAGGCCTCATGGTAAGACCTGGACCCGGGACCGATTTACTTTTTTGTTTTGAGGTCACCAGAGGCTAAAAACACCATCCGTTGAAATTAATATATATATTTATTTATATGTGTCCATTAGCACTATAACTCAAGCAAAAATCATCCGATTTTGATG